ATGATGATGATGATGATGATGATAAGAAGAAGAAGAAGAAGAAGAAGAAGAAGAAGAAGAAGAAGAAAAGAGATACGAGGAAGAAGGCGGCCAGAACAAATGCAATAAATACGACAGGAAGGAATGAAGAAAGAAATAAAAAAACAGGCGGAAATAATATGTTAAATAAACGGTGAAAAAAATAAGAAAAGAAGAAAAAAGAAGAAAGACAAATGTAGGGAACAGAAATTAGAGGAAAAAGAAGAAAAATAAGAAAGGAAAACGGGAGAAAAAGAGAGAAAATAAAAAGAAGTGGAAATAAAAATGGGGGAAAAAAGAAATGAAAAAGAAAAAAGAAAAGAAATAGAAGGAACGGAAAGAGAAAAGATTAAGAAAAAGAAGGAAGAATAGTAAGTTAAAAAAAAAAATAGAGAGATAATGTCCGAGAAGAAGAAGAAGAAGAAGAAGAAGAAGAAGAAGAAGAAGAGGTTAAGAAAGAAAGAATGAAGGAAAAATAAGAGGACAAAGAATAAGAAAGGAAAAAAAATATTGTAATGTAAAATAAACGTATGTGTAACGGAGAAGTAGCACTATCAAGCACGATATTGTGCTACCCATTATAAACTGGTGGGACACAGACGCCATTATATTCGGAGCGACCCTCATAAAAAGGTAAATAAAATCGGCTGGATTTATTGATATTCACTAAAACTTGGATAAAGATGGATGTTGAAATCATAAATTAATGATATGAAGTCGATCTTCCAAATGGATGTTGATTGGGTGAATTTACTGAAAGCTGATGTGTTTAAATGAAGGCAGTACACATTCTGATAGGCATTTAGTAGATATTCTTTATTTGTGTACAAGAATAACGTATATCAGGATTCATTAAATGTAAATATTTTCCAAAGGTTTCAGTCAGTTATGTTAGGCGATCTTTCGATACATGAGTAACGAGACAGATTTTTTTCCCCCACAGTAGGGAGCCATTTCTTTCTGTGGTAGACCAGTTGCCATCCAAGGTCTGTCCTGCTATTTAACCATAGCTGGGGGGAAAAGAAGGGTATTCATAACTTACTCAAGGGTATTAGCACGTAAGTGAATGTAATGGATTCTACTGGAATTCGAACTCAGCTCTCCGATTCCTCGATCCGAGCCGCTATCCATTACTCCACCAGGATTTACTAATTCGACTATATATCGACACCTTATTAAGACAAGATAATATGTATGAAGATCAATTACCCTATACACAAGCCACCAATATTGGCACTGCGTGGCATGGAACTAGGGTTTACCGCTGGTTGTCCGCTGTCGGTCCGCCGGCGTGTTCGTCCTGGCAAAGAAAGTTACCGCTGGCGGACCGCTAGAGACCTGCCGGTAGTTGCTGGCGATGCTATCGGTGGCCTGCCAGCGGGCCACTAGCGGCTTACAGCATTTTTCTTAAATAATTTAAAACGTAACGTTTCTTTTTCATAATGACATAGCGAATGATGAAGCTTTTTGTTGGCGGTAAGTCATGACTGTGTTGTCGAGAATAAAGGTCGTGACAAACATCGAGGTTCTACCATTTTACAGCGAAAATCACAATGCAACGGCCACTTCTATTCAAACAGTCCATTTTCTCGCACTTCCCGCCCGAGGAACTCCCTTCCGTTTAATTGCTACTCTACAATCTTCAAAAATTTAAATACAACGTAAATCGCCATCATCTATCTTCTTGAATGCTGGTCATCTTTTGCCCTTTCCTCAGTCCTCACTATAGTCAGTTTTTTCTTTCACTGTTAGACCCTGTAATTCCTTGCGTACGAGTGGCATTTACGCCTTGCTTGGGGTGAAATTATAAAGGTCCAGATTGCAAAAACTCAGTCAAGGAGAAAGTTAAGTAGAAAACATTGGCTTTGGAGACTGATGAAAAACATGCTATAAGACTCTACTTTTAATTTTCGAATCTTAACATGGTTTGTTACAAGGGCACAACTAATAGCCACACAACGAAGGGGAGTAAATAGGTTCGCTATTGACCGGTTCATACTCCTTCCCCATCTATTGAATAGGGTTTATCCATTTGGGAGGGGATGATAATTTTTTTTTAAATATTTCTGTCGATGACTATAGTTAATTAAAACATGTTAAAGGAAGGAACAATTTAATATTAGGCTAACATTTTCACATTAGGCGGTCTGCGCCAAATTCCCACAATTATTTACAAACGGCATACGTGTAGAGAATTATAAATCAGAATACAAAAAAAATAGTCACTTTTACTTGACACCATATCGATGCTTTCTTAAGTTTCCTTCACTAATACATGACTACTCTAGCATTCCACCCAGTGAGGATCTCTATAGGACCAACTCGACTACATGTCAAACTATTTCTCTATTTTATGGTGACTCTTCTATGTATTACGACCATATCGCTTTTGAAATAACGGTGATCGTACGATCACCGAAGTTAAGCAACGTTGAGCCTGGTCAGCACCAAGATGGATGGCCACTTGGGAATACCAGGTGCTTTAAGCTTGTGTGTGTGTGTGTGTGTGTGTGTGTGTGTTTGTGTGTGTGGCATAGTAGACAACGTTTCGAAATTGAAAATAATGCAGTCGTGTTCCAATTCTATTCGGTTTTGTTATATTCACCTATGCGCAAAAACCGCCGGGAAAAATATAAATCAACCTTTTATCTCCCCAGCTATGGGTTAATTTGTAGAACTTGTGATATTACTTCATTATTATCCCCCAAAATATGCTTGCAATATAAAAAAAAATACTCGGGTTTTAAATAACCTACAAAAGGTTGATAGGCCGTAAAAAAGATTCGATCACGATATTGAGTCACCCCACCCACGAGGGTGTCATGTGGCACAAGGCCTTTTTATCGTGGGCATTCCGAGCCCGTTGGCTCGGCCAAAAATATGCCCATTGAACCCGTATAAACGGGTTCAGGGCCGGTTTACCTCCCCGAAGGAGACTCCGCCCTTCGGCGGAGTCTCCTTCGGGTTCCTCCCGTCCGTAGGAAGAGAGTTCAACCAAGCAGTCGGTTCAGAAGTGAACGACTGACTCACTCAAAAAAAAAAAAAGATTCGATCACTCAAACATTAGGCAAGGCATAGCGGAAACACTTTACAGTTCACGTTGTGAATCGCTGTAATCACGAGATTTTAGGAACATTATTATTATGCAAAAGTATTATTTAATTTCGCCTATCGCCCAGCTCACACTCCACCCGCGTTTTTAAGAACAGGAGTGTCGGTTTTTACTCTGTTTCTTGTTTGAAGATTGCGTTTCTGGTTCCTTGTCCTAAAGTCTTCTCATTCTTTTTTCACTCCCAGTAAACCCCCTTGTTTCCTAGTGGCTTGCTCGAGGTGAAATTATTACATTTCTTTTTAAAATTATATCTGTAGGTGACTAGATTTAATGGAAACATGTTAAAGAAAGTGAAAACTTAATATTAGTCTAATAGATTTTCAAATTAGGCGATCTGCTCTAAATTCTGGCAATTGTCCGTCCTGGGTATGACGATAAACTACATTCGCGTCTTGAGTAAGACGATAAACTACGTCCAACAGCAAGGACTCTGATCTGGAAATTTTGAGGAGCGTGGAACCACCTCTAAATTGCTGATGTTCCCAGACCAACCCTGACCCGGGGTGGTAGCAGCTGTTAGAGTCCAGCTATGGGTAAATAGTTAACCCAAAAATGGGATCAAAACTCTACGAAAGTGTAAAATAGGTTTTAATAACAGCAATAAAATTTATGAGGGAAAAATATTACCAGCAATACATTACCAGCTATACATTTAAAAATTACAAGTTATATATTATTTTGAAAACATATTACCAGCGATACATTTTTGAAGAAAAAAAATATTACCAGCAATATTTTTTTAAGGAAAATTTTACCAGCAATAAAATATTTCGGCATTAAATAACACATGGTGGTTGATATGTCGTAAAACAAATCAAAACAAATCGAACAAGAAATACTTTTTTTAAAATTTTTGAAGAAATATTATTACCAGCAATACATTATTACCAGCGATATATTTTTGGAAAAAAAAATTACCAGGAATAAAAAATCTTGTCGGCATTAAATAACCCATTAAGCTTGATATGCCGTTAAACAAACCAAACCAAACCAAACCGAGAATTGCTTACAAACGGCATACGTGTAGAAAAAAAATATAAATCACAAGACAAGAAAACTAGTAACTTTTACTTGACACCATATTTATACATTCTTACGTTTCCTTCACAAACAGATGACTACTCTAGCATTGCACCCAGTGAGGATCTATATAGAACCAATTCAAATAGATATCAAACTATTTCTCTATTTTATGGAGACTCTTCTAAGAAGATTCAAACAACATCTATTATGGATATTGTCATGGGTACTTACCTATAACTACAGAATGAACTCTTCCTAACACTATATATATACTACGCCTCTCAAGAGAGAGGGACGAATCGTCAAGCTTCTCGGCTTGACGGTCGAACTCTCTGCCTCTGAGCAGAGAGGAACTCGGACGAGGCTCCGCCGAAGGGCAGAGTCACGTTCGGGGAGGTTGACCAACCCGATCTCGTTTATACGGGTTCTACGGGCATTTTTTGGCCGAGTCTACGGGCTTGAGGAACCCACGTTAAACTCGGTCTTGTGCCACATGCAACCCTCCTGGGAGGGTGGCTAGATACCGAATCGAGTCGAGCTTCTCTGAGCAGAGAGGAACTCGGACGAGGCTCCGCCGAAGGGCAGAATCTCGTTCGGGGAGAAATGACCAACCCGATCTCGTTTATACGGGTTATACGGGCATTTTTGGCCGAGCCTACGGGCTCGGGAAACCCACGATAAACTCGGCCTTGTGCCACATGCAACCCTCGTGGGGGGGGTTGGCTAGATACCGAATCGAGTCGAGCTTCTCGGCTTGACGGTCAAACTCTCTGCCTCTGAGCAGAGAGGAACCCGGACGAGACTCCGCCGAAGGGCAGAGTCTCGTTCGGGGAGGTTGACCAACCCGATCCCATTTATACGGCTTCTACGGGCATTTTTTGGCCGAGTCTACAGGCTCGGGAAACCCACGTTAAACTCGGCCTTGTGCCACATGCAACCCTCGTGGGGGGGTAGATACCGAATCGAGTCGAGCCGATATTAGTTCACTCCAAACCAGCCTGACAGTCATACTAACACCTTACACATCTTGTATTATTATTATCGTGTAATATACCTTCGTTATTTTTCTACTCTTGTGTTTGTGTTCTTCTTTGGTCCTAACCTGGAACCTAACAGATATACAGACACAACAAGAGATCAAGATGAAGTCTAATTGAGAATGCATCGCTGCTATGTCTTCCCGCTGATATCTCATCGAACACATCCTCAAGAAGGTACGAGAGAAACCTACACTTTCCTTCAAGAACGTCTGTAAAAGTTTCACCAGGAGAGGTGCGAAGACGTCACCAGCGATCGCTCAGACTTGGAGAGGCAACTTATACAGAGTGCTGGAGCGACGAGAGAAGAAACGGAGGCTTGCCACCGGGAAGAGGTATGCTCGAAGGAAAGACAGCAGCAGAACGATATCGGGCGAGAGCATCTTCACATGCATTGGTTGCAATCGAAACTATCACATGTGTGCCTGTACGGCCATAACAGAACCTGCGTCGATATCAGTAGATGTGGCATGATTTTGGAGGCGAAGATCCATGGTCTTTCGAGACCGACAGATGCCACACAAACACAGACATAACGGCATAAGTGTAAATAAATCAATGTTTAAGGAATCAATGTTAAAGAAATCTACGCCAAATTACAACAAACGATATGAGTATAAAAAAAAGATTCACGATGCAAGAAAATTAGACACATTTACTTGACACTATATCGATACTTTCTTACGTTTCCTTAATCAACTGATGACGTCCTGGGTATGACGATAAACTACATCCACGTCCTGGGTAAGACGATAAACTACGTCCAACAGCTAGGCCTCTGATCAGGAACCACTTCTTAATTGCTGGTGTTTCCAGGTCAGCCCTGACCCGAGGTGGTAGCACCTATAAGGGTCCTAGCTATGGGCAAATAGTTAACCCTCAATCTTGGGGGAAAACACTATGAAAGTGTAAAAATAGGTTTTAATACCAGAAAGACTTTGGAAAAAAAATATTACACCAATACATTTTTGCAAAAAAAAAAAATGATATTACCAGAAAAATATTTTGAAGAAAAATATTAACAAACATTTAATTTTTAAGAAAAAATATTACCAGAAATACATTTTTGAAAAAAAATTCTCGTAATTAAATAACATGTTGATTTTGATATGCCCTAAAACAAAACAAACCAAACTAATATATACTGAGAGATAGATAGATAGATAGATAGATAGATAGATAGATAGATGTAAAATATATTACCAGAAATAAAAGTTTTGTTGGCATTATATAACCCATTGAGGTTGATATGCCGTAAAACATAACAAACAAAACCTATATATATATATATATATATATATATATATATATATATATATAGATAGATAGATAGATAGATAGATAAAAAATATTGCTAGCAATAAAAATCTTTCGAACTTAAATAACTCATTGAGGTTGATATGCCGTAAAAGAAACCAAACCAAAACCTAAACCAAACCGACAGACGACAACTCAGGAGCGAAGAGAGAAGAAACGGGGGCTTGCTTATAAACTGCGGAGATCAACTTGCATAAGTTTTAAAATGATCGTGGAATATTAATAATAATAATAAAAATAACAATAATAATAATAATAATATATATATATATATATATATATATATATATATATATTTCATACCTTCATGGGCTTCTGATCCTTAGCTATGATTAAATAGGGATGGCCATGTCTATGATTGATTTCATCACGATTCTTCTGTAAAGCTTGGAGAGTAACTAATTTCCTGTCCTTGAGTTACATTACTGAAGGCCTGAATGACCTTTTTACTCACACCATTGGTCAGTTGAGAAAACTGTGGTGTTGACACGAAACGATTTTAAACTGTTCTCTTTCTAGATGAATAATTCAAAGGGTTTTTCAGTGATTCTTACGACAAATTCTATCAAATTGGCAAACCGTCTTATCTGAAAACCTGGAAAATAGAAACTCAAAGAACAGACTTGAAGAGACAGAAATATGTGTTCTACAGAAAGATGCCGAGGATGACATGGACTGAACATGTGAGCAACGACGATATTCTAGAGAATATGGAAACAAAAAGGAAAGTTATACTTAATATCAGGAAGAGACAGTGGAGGATTCTCGGGCAAGTAATGAGAAAAGAAATGGAGGAAATGGGAAACCTGATGTTCAAAGGACAGATCAAAGCTAAATGAAACAGCAAAAAACAACGCTTGATATACTAAGTAACTTGTGTAAAGGGTTTAGGGCAAAAACAGAAAGACCAGTTCTTTTAAGAACTATAAAAGACAGGAAGTTTGGCATGAATTTGATACATTAAATCTTCTATGTGCCGCGTATCCTTCAGAC